TTCGCGCAAGCAACTTTTTGTTTCGTTCAAAGAGGAAAAACCCGATCGCGTAACAGAATTATAACTCACAGCTTATTTCATCCAATTATCATTTGGACTTAGTCGCCAGTATGTAGCGCTGTGCAAGGGGATTTTTTTCCCATAATATTTTTAAAGTATTTCCAATCAAATGTAAGAAAATTTTTGTGTAATTTTGGATAATTAATAATAAATAAGTAATTTTTTAAAAAATGGGATGATACACTACAATTGAGCACAGATAAATTTTTCTAACCCATTTTATGGACGTTCAACTCAGCGGAAAATTACGGAATTCGTTAATTTAAGTCTCTCCACTGTACAAAGCATCATTAATCGCTTTATTCGTGAGAATAGGACTCAAAATATGGGCAGAAGTGTACCAAATAAAATTTTCAACTCAGCTGACGAGCGATATATTGTTAGAAAAATCAAGTGGAATCCAAAATTAAAGGTTTCTGATATAGTCAGGAAGGTACGGATAGAACTAGGCAAGACGTGCAATGCGGAAACTGTCCACAGCAAATCTAAAGACAAATCTTTCATAAGCAAAAAAAATCAGAGCAGTCCGCTTGCTTATACTAAGGAGCATGCCCACAAAAAATTAAACTTCTGGAACAACGTCATATTCTCAGACGAGTATAAATTTAGTATTTCTAGCTCGAATAGCACGACTTACGTGTGGCGAGAACCGAACACTGAGCTCAAAACAGAAAATGTAAAAGCTACAGTAAAGCATGGCGGTGGAAGTATTATGGTTTGGGCCTGTATATCAGCCGCCGGCATTGGAATCTGGAGTTTATTGATGGTAACATGGACAAAACAATGTACCTCAATGTTTCAAAAAAAAATTTACTCCAGAGTGCCATTAAACTTGGAATTCCTGAAACATTTCGCTTCTACTAAGACAAAGACGCAAAACATAAGGCCGCGTTTGTACAGTCTTGGTTGATTTGGAACTGCCCACATCTGATGACACCATTGGCGCAAAGCCCAGACATGAATGTCATTGACAATTTATGTCCAATATTGGAACAAAACATTCGGCAATATACTATTTCTAACAAAGAAAATTTAAAAAGGCTATTTTATTTTACAACAGTCATCCACTCTTGCTCCAGAAATAACCCAAATAGCTCCAGAAATAAGCGAAAGGGTATCATACCAAATATTGACTTTGGAACCAAATGAAATTTCTTTTTGTGGATGAAATAAGCTGAGGCATTAAAATAGGAGTATATTCATAGTTTATGTTAATTATTTATTAAAACAATATTTTCTGTATTTTTGAAGTTTATAAATTAAATAATAAATATTTTTTCTTAAAAATGGCATTTAAATATTTTGAATCGATGACATAGTTTTTCAGTAATAGCGTAAAGAATTTTAAAATTGGTGTTGGTAAGCTGAGAGCCACTGTATATGCAACAACTGCTGCATTCATATTGTGAACAATATTAGAAATATTATATACTAAGTAATTTAAATTTTTCTGCGCTTTCCATGTTGAATTATTTTCTTTTAACAATACAAACTTTATGTGTGCTGTTTACAATTAAAATTTAAACAGAGAAAAGCCCTACAGTGTACACGCATTTCAGTTCAGATTAAGACTGGTTTATATGTAGTTAATTACAACTTATAAACTAACTTAACTACAATTCAACACTATTCTTTTTTATTTTACTCTTATATAAAGTTTATTCCATTTTTATAGAATCTTATATTACGCCTGTTCGGTGCCTCGTAGGTATGGCAAAAAACAGCAAGTTACTCACCTTTACGGGCCGAAATGTACGCAAAACAATAACACTATTTTCTCTACCTTGGCCAGTATAGGTATTTATGTCAATAAGCCAACTGTTATGAATCTTCATTGGAAATTTCAACAAATATTATATGCAAATAAAAATTCAAACAAAATTCAAAAATTTCATAAATTTGAAAATTGGAAAAAAAGAAAAATTTCAGTTTTTTATTTTGAAATTTTCAACATTTTTACCATTCCGTTTAATTTTGTATTCAATTTAATTTTCAATTTATGTTATTTATTTTTATACACAATGTAATTTGCTTGCATTATGCTAGTTTTGCTATTTGTCAAAACATAACACTTGACAAATTTGTTATATAGGCCAGCGAAGCCAATATAGGCCAGCATGCATTTCTACCATACTTGCGAGCCACCGAAAAGGCCTATTATACAATAACCATTAAATAAATTTATAATAAATTAAGAAATATATTTAAATGAATTAATATTTTTATTTTATAATAAACAATAAAAAAATTATTTTTTTACTATTTATATATATTCTGTATTTACGGACTAATATTTATATTGTTATGAGATAAATATACTCTATGTCGAAAAAAAAACAAAAAAGGGTAAAATCAGTTTTTTAAACGTATCACCGACACTCACACGTGCACACAAGACAAGACAAGCTTGAAGGAAATGTTAATGCTCGCAGCATAGTCGTTAATTTGCAATGCAATTCAAAAATTAGACAAGAGTTGCATTAACATTTGAACGTAAGAAGTATGGCACTGATGTGCGTGCAGAAAATAAAGTAAACATGATTTTTCATGTAAATAGACGCGGAAATCACCTATATAACAAATCACTAAGCGCCAACACACTGACGCGATATTCACCTACGCTATAGCTTGATCTGTAGAAAATAAGCCAGCAAGCATTTTGATCCAAATTTTTTAACAAATATGTCCTTCTTACCGAGTAATTCTGGCAAAGATCGTTAAAACTCTTGTGTAAAAACTTTGTAAGATCGACCTGAAGACCGTTTATAAGGTTTTAGCTATTCTGGCACAAAAGTCATTAAAAAAAACTTTCATCATTTGTAATTCGTGGTGGAAAGCAGTTTCGTTCTATTTTTTTTTTTTTGTGAAATCAAAAACAGCTGTTAATCGCTTTCGAATTCAAGTAAACAATTGAATTTTAATAAAAATGTGATGGAAAGCCGTAAGAACTATGTTCCATTATTACCATTTAAAAATAAATAATTATTTACATATTACATAGGTATATACTTGTAAAATATATATGTTAAAATTTTTATAAAGACAGTATAGTATATCAATAAATTCACGTTTGCGTCGTATTAAAAACGTCGTATAGTTAGAAATAATTGTTCAATTTTTACATATTTTAATAAGTCATCAAGTCATTAATCCTTAAGTTTTATTTACATTTCTATGTGTATTGTTTTAAATAAAAAAAGTTTGTACACGAAAAAAACAAACAAAATCTTAGCTAACAATTGAAAGACCTGATCAATAGCAGATCTTTCATTTGGTATTGAGAAAGACCAAAAATAACTTTCAGTCTTCCAAAAAACTAATGCCAGAATACGAAAGATCTTCCAAACGATCTTTCACACTTTTTGAGTGTAGTAAGCTAAAAGATCGTTATCAGAGTTGCCTAGCAGTTTCGATTATGAGCACATTTTACTATCACATGTGTTAAATTTTACCATTTTATTTTGGATTCGAAAATTGGTTATAATAGATTACAGCTATAACTAACTAAATCTAAAAAATAGCTAAAATTGAAATCGTTTGAAATGTCTGAAGTATTAAATGTAAGTTTTAATTTACTATTTACCTTAAAACTTAAATTTAATTTTATAGTAAATAAATGAAAATTGCAGATTTTATTAGAATCATCGAGCGAAACTGACTCTTCCATTTCTTTTTAAATACTAATTCAAGTGTATTAAACTCAACGGATAAAGTTCATCAGCATGTATATAGTGGAAGTTTTGTGGAAACGATCAATAATTTTGCCGTTAAAGATTATTTGACTGGTATTTGCGCATAAAAAATACAATTGCTATATATTAATTATGTTTCATTTTTTAATAGATTTATTAATAAATTCCAATCAGCGAATGCAAAATAACCGTGATGATCACAATCGGACGATAGCAATGAAGGAATTTTATATATTTTTGTGATATATGGCAAATATGAATAGTTTTTGCGAATTTGGTATTTGTTTTGCCATACTAAGAGCTTCTGTATGGAGAATAATTAAAAGAACTAGTGTTTAGCTTATATCAATTGAACACTAATTTATAAAATACACGCTTGCTAATAATGCAAAAGTGGAAGCTTCGAAAAAATTCCCGTTCGTAATTGGCACACATGTAATTAACACACATGTAAAAATAAATGCACCACACTATAGCAAATAGGCTTATTTCAAAAAGAAGCATGACTATAGCTTAATTTGCAGGCAGTTTGCGATGAAAATGGTTTTTTTATAAACGTTTATGTTGCAGAGTCTGGTTCCTTATGTATTGTTCTGTTTTAATTAAATAAATGCATTCAACTTAATTTATATATATTCATTTCAAATGAATTGATTTTAATAAATTATCAAACAACACTTTTTCAATAATAATAAACGTGAATAATTAAAGTAATAATTTTAATTATAGTTATAATTAAAACATTATTTAAATACATGAAATATATAATAAATAAATAAAATCAATAATAAATAAATATAAATGTAGATTTTTTTTATATTTTTACTGCACCGTTGCATCGCATTGCCAACCGCATTTGCATTAAAATACGTTCCACTTATATTTTTTACATACACTCCACATTCAACCAGAATGTGAACCGGATTGATTACTGGTTCACTCCATTAGTTTGGTATTGCATGTAAAATTGAGCAGTCCATGTTTACTAAAACGCAGCTAATATTAATTAATGCATTTTTTAGCAGAATAACTCGAAGAATTTTTTGCATATAATACTAAAATAATTTGCTTGTATTAATTTATAAATAATCAATTTTTTCTTAATATAGTTTATTTAAATTATTATATGGTTTTTAATGCGTGAACTATTTTATATAGCGTGTTGCTCTTTATTGGTAATACTTTAATCATTTAAATAGTTGTGAATTTTGTATGAATACCGGCAAAAATCCGATCAAAAAAGAATACATATGACCAGTCTGCATGACATACATTTAAATTTTTTGGTTTGTTTTACATACGCCTTGTTTGAAATTATACATTTGCCTCGCCAATTTGGCAATCAAGTATGATGTGTAATACCCGCTTAACACCTTTGAATTTTGTAATAAGGGCGCCTATCAACCCTGTACATTCTAGCAATGTTATTAACCTGCTAAGGTGTTTGGTCGACCGGTTGTTTGGTGGTGATGTGTTGTAAAGAGATTTAAACATATTAATTAATTTGTTTAATTCATTAAAATGTTAAATGTCACGCCACAAGTTTTCGCAGCAATGCAAAACTTAGATATATGTGCATTAGAAAAATATCCTCAAAATGAAATTAGGCCTATTTTGCCGTCATTGGTACGTATGACATTGCTATCACCGCTTGATAATACAAATTCATCCATGGCCTCACGAAAACAAATCCTTGGAGTATTGATTGGAATTGAAGTTGTTAATAGTATAGTGTCTTACCTTCAAGTAAATTATCATGAACTTGAACTCGAACTTAAAAAAGAATTACAAGTGCGACAAAAATCTGTGTATTACGATGTACCGCCAACCGAATTTGGATTACAAACTGGCATTGCATTAGGATTCGAACGATCGGATGTTACATGCAAGGTTCGAGTTGTTCTTTCAGAAATTTTCAACATTCAGTTTCAAGTGGCTGAATCGAAAAGTTTTATGCACCCTGAACTTTTTGAAGATAGTATATATTTGGAAGAAATTGTTGATATATTATGCATAGCACTAGCGGAATTGCCATCATTATTAAATATTTTGGATTTAACAGATACATTAGTACATGTGCACAATGGCCGACGTATAATATGCGCTATGGTAGCCAATTTTCCAGACTATTATCGTGACGTAGTGTCGCATTTAATTCATAGTTGTGATGAAGAGAGTATTGAGGGAAAACTTAAGTTGTCATTGTTAACGGCATTAAGTGAAATGAATCCGTCGCAAGCATTATTTACGCGTGCAATATGTATGGAAAATTTGAAAGTTTCTTCTTTTATGCTAAATCTATCACTCAAGTATCCTCATGATTTGGTATTAAATATTTAATGTTTTAAATTATAAAAATGAAGCAATTTCTTGTTTTAAATTAGATCGCGTTTTTAACAGGAATACTACTGGGAAACGATCAAAATATACGTTCTTGGTTTGCTGTGTATGTACGATCCAGTCAGAAGCGGAAGGGAGAGGCTTTAATTCAAGTAAGAATGGAATTGTTACAGCAACTTCAAAATATTGTTCACTTACATGCAATACATGGCTTAAATGATCATTTTACTTCACAAGGATCTGTAGTAATAAGACTTTATTGTGCTCTGCGCGGTATTGCTGGATTAAAGTATGTATTAGGATCATATTTTATTATATATTTCGTTTTCACAAATTTGTATTTCAGATTTAATGATGAAGAAATAAGCCTGATATCACAACTAATAACTTCTCGTCCTCTGCCAACTCAATCAGGTCTGCGGTTTGTTTCTTTAGCATTGTGTATGCTTATATCCTGCCCCTCTTTAGTATTTTCCACTACATTAGAGATAAAATCAGTTGAATGGCTACAATGGCTTACTAAAGAAGATACTTTCTTTGGTAAACAGTCTGATACCACTTCTTTAGGTGAAATGTTGCTTTTGTTGGCAATTCATTTCCATAGTAATCAAATTGCAGCTATTGGTGACTTAATTTGCTCTACATTAGCAATGAAAATACCTATAAGACCAAACAGCACAAATCGCATAAAGCAACTTTTTACACAAGATTTATTTACAGAACAAGTTGTTGCATCACATGCTGTTAGAGTCCCGGTTACAATTAATTTGAATGCACATATACCCGGATATTTACCAGTTCATTGCATACATCAGTTAATAAAATCGCGTTCCTTTATGAAACATAAAGTTCCAATTAAATCGTGGATTTACAAACAAATATGCAATTCTATTACCCCATTGCATCCTGTTATGCCTGCTTTAATTGAAGTATACGTAAATACATTAATAACACCAAACCCATCAGGTAAACTTAATATCGAACATATACATAAACCGTTTTCCAAATACGAAATTCTGCATATTTTCAATGCATCAAATCCCGCTTTACTTAATACTCAATTATTTTCAAACGTTTCAAATGCAACATCGAATATACAAATTCAATGTGCAACTACATCGCAACTTCTTATTTTGTATTATTTAGTACTTTATGAAGAAACAAGGCAGCTGAATATACTAAGCAGCCCTACATCGTGTCGTAAATTTAAAGATTATTCCACAAACTTTCTGTCCAAACTTCCAGTAAAATATTTGTTACATGTAGCCCAAAAAAATCATAATGATTACGTCGGATTATTTCATCCACTATTGCGATTAATTGTGTCTAATTGTCCCCATCTGAGTATGGTTGAGGATTGGCTTGAAGAATATGACGTTATGCATATAACACAAAAATGTATGCCTACTAGACATATGAATAGGACGTTAATTGTAAAATCTCTTAAGGCTGTCCAGTCTCATCCTGGGCTGTCATTTATGGTATTTAAAGCTTTGCTCAAGTTACCAACAGATGAAATGGCGCAATATGCAGAACTGATTGTTGAGAATATACCTAAAGTGTTTAATGAAGTTGTTCCGCGATTGACTCAAGACTTATATAAAACTATTTGGTCAATTCTTAATACCACTCTGCCAATAAGTTTTTGGAAAACGACTTTAAATATGATAATGTCGAGTACTGATACCACCAAGTTAAATATATTTAATGAAAATATTGATCCGCTTCGAGTGTTAAGGCAAGTAAAATTAAATTTAATTAAAAAATTGTATATATAGATTATTTTATATGAGTTATTTTTTGCAGATGTAAAAGAAAAGTATTTTATTCACCATACATGCTTGTAATACTAATTCGTATACTAAATGGAAGCGTTGCTGCATACAGAGCTTGTCTAAATAACCAAGTATATGGAAAACAAATTGTTGATAAAAACGGACAAATACAAAGTGATTCAGATCGTGAAGAACTCAAAACTGCATTGTTAGCTTCTCAAGAAAGTGCAACGGTACAAATATTACTTGAACTATTAACAAAATTGCAAAAATGTGCAACTCAGTGCATATACAAGTTAAGACTACGTGAATCTCAGGGAATAATATGTACCTATATTCATCAAACTTTTATTACGGAACCTGCTTTAGCAAAACTTGTTCATTTTCAAACATATCCTACTGAAATAATACCTATGATGGTGATTGGAGTTCCTTCTATGCATATTTGCACTGACTATTTGCTTGACCTTCATAATATACCAGAGATGAACAAACAAATTTTCATGATTGAATTAACTTCACATCTTGTATTAAAATATTCCATACCAAAATGTTTAAGCGTTTCTAAATTTTGCTTAAATGTGGTACAGACATCTATTTCATTATTATCAACAAGTGCAAAATTTGTCTACCTTAACAGTGTACTACCCTCTTTAGTACGCTTTGTAGAAGCGTTTCCATTGTTAATCGATGATTGTATAAACATTTTAATGATAACAGGCAAGAATCTATCTTCGCAGAGTAGTTTAGGACTTTGTTCTGTACAAATGTTAACAAAATCAAATATTAAATGTTTTAAAGAATCACAGAAATATGTAGATCTAATAGACAAAGCTTTTGAAACTATTGTAACAAAAATTGTAAATAGGTCCCAGTTATATTAATCGAGCTATTATATATTAATAAAGACATTTTCTCCTTTTACAATTTAAAGAGTTTAATCAGGAGCAAAAAATTTTATGTATTGTCTCCGGCGAATGAAAATAAGTAAGTCACTATCACAATGTTTTGCTCATATCCGAAATACATCAAATAATTTTTAGCTTATTTCTCAAACACAGATTTAGTGGTTCATATACAATTTTTGCAATTCAAATGTTAGGAATGAACCCAATGAATTTTAAACCGTTGACTTCCATATAAGGCACAAAGTCTACAACAACTACATTTGTGCTTTTTCCACAAGATCGACTAATCATGGGCAAAAGTGACATCGAAAAAGCAGAGAAACATTCGCGTTAGATCTAACCAAAACATACCAGATATTATGAAATAAAAGATAAATTTTCTACAAAAGCCTTATCAATTAGAACTTCTAATTAAAATATATTATATTAAGGAAGTTATGGACGTAATAGCGAAGATAAAAGTAAAAAAGATCCAGGATACTATTTGATTACAAGCATGGCCCTGCAGCAGTTACCACCAAAAGGATTTGTAGTTCTCATTCATTTACTTAACGTCATGTTAATAAAGGGGTTTATTCCGCCACAGTGAAAAACAGCGCAAATTTCCATGATTTCCAAACCATATAATCATGAAGCACTATAATGAGTTCACTATCATTGAAATTTTCATTGGATATCAATTTTGAAGTTTCTCTTGTTATGTTTTGTTTCGTATGTTTGATAAATTTCTGTAAATAAAGCATTTAATTACAACTTTTTCAGCCTTGTAAAAATTTTTGAGAGCTACCTCAAACTCGAAGCAAGAGAATTGGGCTAAATTTGTATTCGTTCGTGGCATTATCCTAAGGTCTCGTTAGATTTGGATGTTAGTTGCATACTATTTTAATTGCTCAACTTTTTTCGTAGAATTTTCAACTGAAATCTTTCAAGAATTTTGAAATTGGATGTTGAGACTATTCCCCATAGTTGAATGTCAGTAGTCCATACTGGTTTTAGCACACTTGTGTAAAATAAGTTTTTTTTTTTAGAGATACTAACCATTTTTTTATCAAGTACCCGAAACATTTTACGATATTGAATCCCAAGCGATTTTGTTTTGTTAAAAATATGTGTTTTCCGTGTCAGACTTCTATCCAAGCCCCAGCCCAGGTATTTTTCACTGTTTGATTGCGGAATTATTATATTAATAAGTTTAATTTCAGGGCAGGTATCTCTTCTCATTGTAAACGTGACATGAGTAGATTTTGTTTCATTTGCTTTTATTCGCCAATGCTTCAACCATTTTGATATATTATCAAGACAAGCTTGTAGTTTAAAAGAGGCCACACTCGTCAAGATGGCTGTGTCATCCGTATGTGTACCAGTTAGAAAATCTGCCGTCTTTGGTAAATCGTATGTGAAGAGCGGATAATGGATTGGACAAAATACACTGCATTGTAATACTCCAGCTTTAATATCAAAAAAATAGATACGATTTTATAAACAGATAATAGCCACAAATATTAGGGTCGTTCGCCACAAGTGTTATGGTCGTTCGCCACAAATATAAACAACTCTGACACATAAAAAAAATGCAGCCCAACAGTAAGCTGGAGTACACAAAAGGTAAACATCCCAAAACAATTTTGCAAATAAAAATTTGCAAAACAATAAGCATCTAATAATCTATGAAACGACTCTCCAGAAGGTAAACTCTAACACGGGATTATAATTTTCGGTCCGAGAAAGGAGGAGAGCTGAAGGAGTCTGTAAAACTAATCTGAAAACTAATCTGATTAAACGATAATTCTGTACCTGCGACCCTACCGCTTTTAAAATAAACTGCGCCTGGGAATCATTCCTAATGTGTATCATATTCCTACGCTATTAAATTAACCACATGTACTCAATAATTCTGTGACTGTAAATCCATATTGTTTTAAATAAACTGCGTCTGGGAATCATTCTCAAAGTACATCATATTCCTGCGCTCTAAAACTAACTTGATTAAACAACAATTCAGCGCCTGCGAGTCTACCGCGATTAAATAAAGTACATCATATTCCTGTGCTGTTAAACTAACCTGTTTTATTAAAAATTCTGTGCCTGTGAGTCTACCGTGTTTTAAATAAACTGCGCCTGCGCCTAACCTGCTTCATCAAAATGATTGTGCTTATGAGTTTACCGTTTTTTAAATAAACTGCGCCTGGAAATCATGCCTAAAGTATATCTTATTCCTGCACTATGAAACTAATTATGCTTAACAAAGTTCTACGCCTGTGAATCTACTGCGATTAAATCATAGTCCTGCACCTGTCAAACTTACGGGGTTTACAACATACTCCTGCGCTTGTGTATTGTGCTGTTATATTCTAAATGAATATAACCTAGTTTCTATATTAAATCATTTGTTGTCTTTTCTCCTTATTCGATTCTTTATTTTATTTAGAATACAACCTAGCCCCTACATTAAGTTAGACGTAAGTTGTTTTTTTTGTTGTAATGAATGGGTTTTTGTTTTAACCTGGACGGAAACACTAGAAATCTAACTCGCGATCAGCCCTAAGAATCGGAGTCGAAGCCGTAATACAAATTTTCTTGTAAGGACCATTTGTTACGACTGAGTATATCCCAGCTATAGACAGCCCAACAAAAAGGTGTTCATTACAGGTGGTAGAAGCTTTTCATATCTGAAAAGAAGTCCTTAGTGCCATACACGATCAAATGCTTGAGATATGTCTAAAAACGCTGCTGAGCAGTATTCTTTTCGCTCGAAAGTGGTCTGTATTTTTTCAACAATTCTATGAAATTGCTCAATCGTTGAATGTTTTCTTCTAAATCCAAAGTGGTGATACGAATAATTCGTTTTGAATCAATTATTGGCATATGAATGGCCGATAATTCTCTCAAGCACTTTTGAGAGAATTGGAAGGAGACTTACTGGACGATAAGATTTAACTTCTCCAGCTGGTTTTTCTAGTTTAAGTATGATTATTTCACCAACTTTCCATTGAGCTGGGATCTCTTTACAAGATGGATGACAAATATTAAAGCAACATCTGGAAGTTTTTTAAAGATTTTAAAAGTTATGAGGTCATAACCAGGTGCCTTTTGATTTTAAGAGATTTAATGGTAAAAATTGTTTCTTGTTTTTTAATTTTCTTAATTGGTAAGTTTCTTCCAAGAAGTTGGAAATATTGACATCTATAGTAGGATCGCTATCCAAATCATGTAGAGTAAAAACGTTCTTTAAATGGTTTGCGAAAACTTAAGCTCTTTCAGTCAGTTTTTTCGCCCAAGTATTGTCTGGTTTTTTTATGTGGATGTCCATTGTATTTACTTTTTTGATTGCTTTCCATAAAGAATAGTAAGATAAGTGACACGTGTAGGAACTATGTAAGAATTGCTGCATATTCTGTTTCGTCAGTCATTTTAGAAGAATTTTTAGTAATTTTGTTTAGTTTTCGTTTGTCTTCAGGAAATCTGGTACGATTCCATAATTTTCTTGCGTCTCGTTTATCTCTAAGTTTTTTTTGTGATGTCCACCGCATAAGTTACTAGTTTCTTCATATACATAGTTATCCTGAATCACATTGGAATGGGAGTTTTTTCCCTTTTCCCAATTTTGCTTTTCTGAATCATATGGGAATGGGAGTTTTGTTCCTTATTCCCAATATCCTTATTCTGAATCAAATGGAAATGGGAGTTTTTCCCAATTGCACAAACAGGTCAATTCTGAATACTCTCAGGGAATAAGTCTCCCTATTCCCATGCTATTCCCAAGAGTAGAACTCCTTTATCCTGAATTGCTTGGGAGCAACAAAAGTTTCAAATTTGTTTTGTTGAATTTTGACAGTCTTGGCACTTTTTAATGGCGAAAAGTGCGATATTGAGCAAAACAAAGAAAAAAATTTTGTATCATATGTTGATTTAAATTTAAAAATCGCATTATATAACTGCAACACGAAATATAACAAATAAATATAAGTTAATTTATAAATAAATAACAAAAAAATGAGTAAAATAAACATATGAAAAGAATTGTGCTGTTATTAATGTTCATTTTAATAAAAAATTTTTTAATTTTAAAAAATGCATTCAAATGCATTTCGAATTTAAGCGGAGTTCAAGAACAGGAGCAAGAAATTCTGCACCAGAGGATCAATAGAAGAAATTTGCAGGACGCTGCAAATCTAATTGATTTCCTTGATTCCTTGTAATACTACGTTTCCACTACGTACTTAGTAAGCCATATAGTAACATTGAGCTTTTGGTCGTTTACATTATCACGAGTTACTTAAGGAATAGGAAAGAGCTTTTATGTGTCAAAAAGTTTTTAGCTTTAGAGCTTTTCTGTGTTTACATTTTAATTGTAAACAGATGATATTAAACGTTGATTGTTAGAAGAAACCGCAAAAAATGTGAATAATTTAATATATAATATTTGTAATGTTGTTCATAATATAAAAGCGACTGTTGCTGCATATACAAAAGAACATACAATACTTTTAAAAAAATTACAAATAATTCAAAATCAACAAATGACAGTGCTTTCTTCAATGATTACTACAAACCAAAGGAAGTACTGGACTTTAGTAAGTACGAACAGTAAATATTATTAAATAAATAATAAAATTTTACTGAGTTGCTATTTTAGATAAGAATGAAATCCGTATGTCGGTTCTGAGAAGACAACAGAGGGCTTCAAAACAAGTTTGAACACTAAATAACCACAAATCAAATAGAAAACAAATAAGGCGATGTTTAGTTAAAGTTTTCAGTAAGTTTTATTTTAACTAATAGCTAATAATAACACTAATAACTTAAAAATTAAAAATAAAAAAAAAACAAAATATATATACTTATATATTTTTCATATAATCAGATTTTATATAATTATAAAATTTATATTATTACATTTATAATTTTAATAATTTATAATTTATTACAAATAAAAATAAAAAAAATAGTCGGTTATCATTGATTTTTCTTTTCTTTGTAGGGGAAATTCTTTTTTGACTTCAAAGATGTTGACGATAATGTTGACGACGCTGGCAGTAACGGTGAGGATGACTACCAGAAATTAATACGAAGGTGTTGTCAATAGGCAAGTTTTCTAAAATTCTATACACGATATTGACAAACTTTCACAAAGACGGGCCTTCGTTGAAAACCACAATACATTGCTGATCCTTACTATTTTAAAATAAAAGAGAAAAGTTGTTAACATAACATTAACTATTAAATAAAACATCTAATATTAATCGTAAAAGATTATGTGGTTTTAATTACAAAAAAGTAATGATATGATAGAAATTTCACTTATTGAACACTTACCTAAAATGTTGGCTGAAGTGCATTATCGTTTGCACTTCGGACGCGGTTACCATAAAACCTGTTTTACATTTTTCATCGAAGAAGATTTTCCTCCCATTGTTCTCGGTTCCACACGCATTCCGGGTAATATTTTTTTGTTTTACATTAAACACAATTTCAAATTTATACATCAAACTTGTGAGATCTCAATTATTGCTTTCCTGATGTTAACCTGAAATAAATAATTTTTATTAAATAATATATAAAATTTTATAATTATATTAAATATATATATAATATAATTAAATTTATTTATATATTTTTATGTATTAATTATATATTTTATTTATAAAGAAACAAATGTAAAAAAAAAATTCTTACCTGTGGTTTGTTTAAAATTTTGATTGCTTGTTTATGTTTACATTTTGTTTCATGTGCCAAATTTTTCAAATTTCGATAATTTCCAATGTTGCATTCATGATGTTTGGTATAATTTTAGTCGAATTTTGTTTACTATATTCTATAGTAAATAAAAAAGCACGGAAGCTCTTTGTATGGTTAATGGAATTTACTCAGTAAATGAAGCTTACTAAGTACGTAGTGGAAACGTACTATGAGGCAACTCAAGAAAATGCAACCACCAAACATTTGTTTACCTTTTTTTGTAAATATGTCAAAAACAGCTTTCTCAAACTGTCAAAATGCCATGAAGAGCTTTTATTTAGGATATATTCAATGTATTCCTTTGTATTTGGAACATATTTGGAATGCATTCGAACGGTCGTTGGGACGCATTCATACAGAATGTGATGAAATGGATCGCATTCTAGCTTGAAATGCAAGAATGAACCATTCGCTTCTCATTTTCGATTTTTGACCAAAAGGAGCCATTTTCGGCCAGTGTAAATTGTTTGGGAGACAAGTTAAAATAGTGTTAAAAAGAGTTTAATCAGATTTTTGACTATATTTTAATAAAATTATCATTACAATAAAATTATTATTATAATAAACGTAATATTTTTGAATTTTTATGTTTTTATTTTATCCATACAGGTTGAATATTTTTCGAATATGTTTTAATAAAACTATTATAATAAATTTTATATATCTAAATTTTAATTTAATAACATATTTTATTAAAATTGTTATAATAAAATTATTATAATAAAAGTAATTTTATTTATTTATTTTATCCAGGCGGGTTTTTTCCACAAATTTAAGTATTAACTATTGTTATTTAAAACAATGAAATAATAAAAGGTACCCACACTTTACAATGAATGGGATTCCTTAAATAAGTTGAAACAGTCTTTTGTTTTGTAATCTTTTGTAATTATTAAAACATTGTTTCTTTTCTATTGTAACATCTGCGCAAATAAAAACTATTATTACAGTTTATTAATTAGAGGATATTTTTATCCTAATTACAAAAATAATTATCGACCATAGAAATAGAGGAACTCAAACTTCAGTTAAAACATTAATAATTCCAATTATTAAATAAAATATCTTTTATTTTTTTACTGTTTATAAGAAAACAATAAATTATATACATATTTAAAAATTGAGGTAAATAATTAAAATTAAAAATTTAACAATTAAAATTAAAAATCTAACAATTAAAATTAAAAATATAATTAATTAATTCAATTATTCTACAGCTGGTTTATGATTTCGTTCTAATATAAACAAAGCAAATGAATTTGTTAATAAAACTTTCACAGCAAATTAACAAAACTCCAGTAAAATGTGCGAACAAAAAAGTCAAGTACAGCTTTAGATCAGTTGGTTAAGGAGCGCTGATTCTAGCATTAAATTTAGCAGGGCATGAGTTCAATTCCTGGAACTTGCACTCTCAAAAAATTATTACGAATAATTAAATACAAGAATTATTTCCAAGACCACTGATGATGGGTATTTGTATTTGACAATACTCGAAACAGCTGTATAGTCAGCCAAAAATTCAATTAATTAAAATAATACAAAAACGAATTTTTATTGTTGTAGTTGACTAATTTTCGAAAACCTCGTATGCCTTAAATGTTATAAAAAACTATTTATATATTTATAAAAAACTATATTTAATATAAAAACGAATTTTTATTGTTGTAATTGACTAATTTCCGAAAACCTCTATATGCCTTAAATGTTATAAAAAATTATTTCCAGTGATCTGGGTTTTTAGTTGAGTTTTTGGCTCGTGAGATCTCATGAGCAGCTATTCAATATGAGCAAATTGAAGGCTCACGCTGATGAGCAGCTTTTCAATATGAGCAAATTTTGCGCTCATACTCATGTGCATATTTTGTACTCATGTAATAATTGGCTCCTCCTCATGAGTAAGCAAATACGAACCAAAGAAGATAAAGAAAAGAAACTGAGAGTTACTCGAAAAATTGTGTATAAATTTTTCTGGATTATTCAAAAAATATTCAAAAATTTTGTGTAATGAGGTGAATATATTACGCAGTACAATAACAAAAAGCCTAATGCTACATAATGGCGCGTGAATATTTTCCCCACCCGGACCCTGATACTTTGCCCACCCGGTCCCTACTCACCACGATATTTGCTAAAGTAAGAGAGGTTTCTGAGAAATTTCGTTGTTTGTTTTGGTTTTTTGACATTAAAAATCCGTTACGAGAAAATGCGCCAAAGTTGCAATTAATTGCACAAATACCACATTACTAAAAGAAAAATAAGGCGGAATTTGTTTTCAATTATAAAAGCATTAAAAAAAGGTAATTATTCCAGAAAAATATATGAATTATTAGTTAATTAAAATTTATTTACAATTGAAACGGAAGTGCGTACTTGGATGTTTAAATTTCAAACATCTCTATATTTTTCCAAACGATTATCGAAGGTATATTATTAATTAAAAATAACGCAATTTATTGTTGTAGAATAAAGTAAATATATAAATGTATTAACACATTAGAAACTTAGATGTGTGCCTAATTAGTGTATATAATAAATCACGAATTAAGTTGTGCTTTTATTTTTTATTTTTTCCATGATATACTAATAATTATAAAAAAGGAAAAATCCTGAAGAGAAATTAATATTATTAATTATACTTTGATTGAGTGTTGTTATTATATATACATATATTGAAAAATTAGAATCACAATTTTCGGATCAGTTCGATAACAATTGCTATAAATTAGGTTTAGCGCAACATTTATTTAATAAATTAGAAAACGTTCATCCCTATATATGTTGCTCTAATTGCAAAATTGAAACTCTTTTATCTTTTTTCATTAAAGTAAGAATTTACTTCATTTTAAAACATTTCAATCGAGATAATAAAGTGTCGAATTTTAAATATAAACAATTATGCTTTCAACACTTATAAACAGCACAAAAGTGTTCATACTCTTTAAGTGATTTTTTGCTTAAACAAAAAATATTTTAGTTTTAATTTTATAATTTATTAAATTTATTTATAATTTATCTTTAATTTAATAGTTCCTTATTATTTTTGGTTTAATATTAAATATTTTTAAAATAGTAATATTATTTTGTATATATTAAGTTATTCTAAATTGTATTTACATAAAATTGTATATTTGTTAAATAAAATATTTTGATGGATAGGCCTATTGGGGAACCGAACACCTAAAACTCGGTAACACGCCAGCAGGCATACCTCTTAGGTGGTGCGGAAAATGCTTATATATTTAATATTTCTTCTAACACTATGCGATGAAATTGATCCCTATTGTTTACAATGTTGTTATTAACTAGTTAAGAATTTCTTGAATTTCATATACAAAAAACATTTCACCTTACTGAAAGGATTGCTTAAAACTACAAAATATATGTAGTAGTAAACAGTATATACATTTTTACGATTTTCTATATTGAAAATATTTGATGCACAAGCAAAAATTGTATTACAATATACCAAACTTTTTTTGAATTTTAAAAAATTATATTAATATTAATCTTTTTAAAACAAACTATTAAAACAATGCAACCTAATACTCGAAATGTATGAACACATACTAACTTTTCTATTAGATGCTCAGCATATATATAAATATAGTACGTATATGTGCAACATGATTAAAAGAACTTTTATTTTAATAAATACGATACAATTTTTTTAACTTTATTAAAACAATTTCATGACTAATTATATATACATATTTACATATATCAATAATAGCTACTTTATATTTACTATTGATTTTAGTTTACCAATTCTTCATTTATATTTGATTTATATAGCGCATTTAAAACTTTTATGTAAATTGAAGTAAAACTGATATAAAAAATCATGCCTATATTTACTCATTATAATCGTATTAATATATACAATGGATTTTCCAAGAACAATAATTTATACTATTTCTTCTAATTAGAAGAAATGGCTACATGCTAATATGCAACCACAAATGTAGTAAATATTTAAGTTATAAGCCACACCGTTTTTAATATTTGACGATTCTGGTATGGTAAATAAGTAAAAGAGATTTTCTTTGCGATATTACACAAAGAGGCACCATTATTCAAAATTTCCTCTCAGTTTCTTTTCTTTATCTTCTTTGTACGAACTCTGGTATGCAGTGTACTATGGTATATCTGACATCTTTTGTAATATTTTTAGTTTTACGGTTAATGTTTCCTTTAAGATCGTAGTGAATTTTGTAACGATTTTATTTGTAAATATAGTTGTTGCATATACGAAAAAAAATTTACAAATTACAATTACATATTATAAAAAATTACAAATTATTCTAAATCAACAAATAACAGTGCTTTCTTCAATGATTACTAGAAACCAAAGGAAGTGCTGGACTTTGGTAACTACGTGCAGTAAATATTATTACATAAACAGTAAAATATAAATAAGTTGGTGTTTTAGAGAAGAAGCAAGAAGTTTTGGAAACAAGATTGCCAAAAAAGTGGTCCTGAGTTTTTTAAGAAAATTTAAATTTAAGCAGCGAAAAGGTAAAACAGTGAACTAGCGGATTCAAAGTTTTGGATTTTCAATGCGTGAAAAACACTTCGTTATATAGAGAATAAATTGCTTTTTGAAAGAAGAATGCGATGAGTATGTTGATCATCGATCTAAACAGTAAACATATTGTCATGAATTTGGAAACAAAGTAAATAGTTTTTTAAGTATATCATAGTTTGTTGGAAAATAAGTTTTATGTATAATTATTACTGGAGAAAATTGTGGGTTGGTGTTTCATGAAAACTAAGAGCAATAAAAGCACGGTTATACAAAATTAGAGTCAATTATTACTTATTTACTTGGGATCCAGCGATCGCGAACGACCACGTTAGTTTTTGGAACGTACGTAAGTATATTTAAAATAAAAATTTTGTTTTTTCCATTGCAAATTATATTAAATGCTTTTAATAAAACTATTGAATCTTTTATCATTGAAACATTTGTTCATGAGAATTGTTGTAAATCTTTAAGTATCCCAAGTAAGACTTTTAAAAATTTAGATTTATTTTTATTTTGTTGCAAATCAGCTATATAAATTAAGTATAGAAGTGGCCCAAGGACAAACCGGCCCTGAGGAACTCCAGCGTTGATATCGTACTCTTGCGAAGTAAAAGATTTCTGAGTCACGTAGGATTTTAGAAGTTTACGAACGTTTTTTAGCTATTCTAAGGACCTGTTCAATTGTTCCATGCCCTTTGCGAAATCTGAATTGATGATCCGAAGTTAAGTTTTCTATCGGTGACGAAATGAGAATTTTTTTATTAGTAGTTTTTCGAAAATTTTTGAGATTTGTGGTAATAGACTTATTGGTCGATATGATGTAGCAACTGAAGGATCTTTTCCAGGCTTTAGGATCATTTTAATCAATGATGTTTTGCAATACGTCGGAGAGTACCCAAGTGACAATATTCTGTTAAAAGTGGTGAGAATGAAGACGATCGTTGTGTTCGGGAGGTTTTTAATCATTTTTCCATTTATTTGGTCTTGCCCAGGTGCTTTTTTGGGTTAATGTTAGTTATAACTTCTTTTAATTCCGAAAGCTATATAATTGGAGGATTTTCTACGTCAGCTAAGATTGATATGTTAGGCTGGAAGTCATTGATTTGCAGATTTGACTGAAAAACATTCTGCAGGTGTAGTGCCAGAGTAGTTCCTTTTTCTTCATCGCTAGGACCCTAGGAGCCATTTTGTTTGTGTATAGGGGGTTCCCTTTGAATTGGGGCTTTACATTTCTTTGCAGCTTTCCATAAGTAATAATTATGCTCTTTTTATGAGCTAAGACTTTCTAGATATTTTTGTATGGAACTGTTTCTTTCCTCGTCTAAAGCTTTTTCCAGGGCTTTAGTCGCTACATAGAGGTTAAGTTTTGATCTGCGAGAACGGTATGTTTGCCAATCTCGTCTCGCATTACGCTTAGCAGAAATAAGCCCATTCAAAGTCGATGGAAACATTGTTTTTTCGCATTACCCATTTGGACAATAATGGACTTAGCAGCCGCGTTAATTAGAGTTTTGTTAAATACATCAACATGCTCAATTTCATTGAGGGGTATCGAGATGCAGAAATTTCTGGAAGACTTCTTTCAACTTCTTTACCGACGTTACGCTAGTTGACAAATGATTTAATATTGAAGGTTTGACCTCCGGAAAAATTTGTCAGTGTTAAGATAACCGGAGAATGGTCTGAAGACAAATCATACGATGGGTCAGCAAAGATATATTCCTTATTTAAACTCTTGAAGACACCAAAATCGATCAAATCAGGTTTTTGACTGGTTTCGGTCTTCCAATCACTGGGATTTCCAGATAATATGACTTCGAGTCCCTTATGTAGAGCTGTATAGAGTTGTCTTCCTAGTGACGATATTAATCTGGAGCCCCAAAATATGTGCTTAGCTTTAAAATCTCCAGGAATTTCGGTCCTAAGGTAATTAACACTTGTTTCATTTGGGTGATAAATATGCAAATAGTAGTGGCTTGAATATGTTTTACGGAAAGTTGCTCTAAATCATAATGTCGCATTGTACTTCTGATAAAAATACCAGTACCACCGTGTGCCTTGCCATCGGGATATTTGGTGTCATAAAAAGAATAGCCTTGTATGCGAGTGCAGATTTTACGGGTTAAGTGTGTCTCAGAAATTATAGTAAGATCGATATTGTTTAAATATAGAAGACGAATGACTCCTAGAATATTGTGGCTTAAGCAGTTAGCGTTCCAGTGACAGATTTTGATTGCGTTCACTCTGCTCCCAGTAGTCTGGAAATAAGCGCTTGATTCTGGACCATACTTTGCATCATAGACTGCATCACACTTTGCATTCATTCCATAAACTTATCCATCCTTTGTATAAAAGCAGAAAATATAGGCTGCATTGGCGCGCTGTTTGTGTGTCATTGCTTTTGTTTCTCTGATCTGGAAATTCCTTCAAAATATTCCTTTAAAACACTAATTTTCCTGTGAAGTAGATATTGTAGAGAGTAAATCGGATGAACTTCACCTTTTTTAAGCTTGCTTTCATCATAATTCAGCTCAACTGTATATAGGGGTTGTGTGATTCGTTCTCTATTCATGATATTGTAAATGTTTTTGACCACGAAATTTTTTTCGTCTAAAGCTGATTGGAGTTTCCCTATATCTAGACTTGGCTCTATACCTTTGATGACCGCTGACAAACCTTCATTGCTTTTCAGCTAATATGAGTAAAAGGTAGACTTTAGTGTTCTGTATTAATCTTCAGTAGATACTTGCAGTTTAGTTTCATGAATACTTCATTTCTTTAAAGGGGTAACGTAAAAGCTGCCTTTTCCTAATAGGGTAGTTAAAACCTTAACTAGTTCATTTAAACTTTTTTTCTCTTAGGAAAATTGGTGGCGGTTTGTACACTTTAGCAAAAACATAGAAATATAAAGAGTAATTTGCCTCTGTTATCAGCGAATATAGCAAACCTATTCTGCGAAGTTTTGACTTTTGATAATTTTAAGTGAATTTTCGTTTGCAGGAGGCGAACAATGGTTTATGTTTGTTTACTGTTGAAAAGTAGCGATCAATTCCAATCAGTTTATTATTTGATATATTTGAGCAGTCTGATTTATTGGATGTGGAATTAATTTTTGTGACTGTAGCAGCAGCAGAGTTAATAAATTCTAGTGTCTTACCTTGTTTACGATTAGAAATTCTTTTCCAGTTATTGTTGGGTATAGTTTGATATGATTTCTTATCTTGGAAGAATTCGTTGTAGGAGTTGTTTAATTTTGTGTTCTAAAAACTTAACCTGAGCTGATTTAGGTGCTTCTTCGTTTGAAACATCCGAAATTATGTTGTTTAATACCGGTTTCACCATCAAGTCAGATTCGTTTGAAATTATTTCTTTTTGATTATTTGGAAGAATATTATTTAAATTTTCGTTTTTATTATTAATTAATTGGATTTTATTTGCTATAGCAATTTCACTAGCTGTTTTTCTTATATTTATTTGAGTTGATGATTTGCTTAAAATTTTATCTTTTGTTTCAATGTCTTCTGCATTTAGCGGTATATAGCCATTTAGGCCATTTTCACTAATTAGTGAATGTCGTCTTATAATACTTTTACAATTGTTCATAAAATATTTATTTTTTGTAATATAATTACAGTTTTATGATCACTGATGTAATAATATATAGAATATAAATTTTTTTTAAAACAATTTGAAATATATAAACTGTGGCAACGCCACTTTTATAAATTCTTACTTTCGTTAAAAAACAAGTGCTGTTTCTATCAGCTGTTTTGTACGTATTAGTAACAAAACAAAACACTATTTTTATTTTAATGTTTTTGTGAATTTTGTTTTGTTTTTATTGAAGTTTTGAAAGAATTTTTTTCATTAAATAAAATAAAAACCAATTTTATGTTCTCGGGGATCACGATAACTAGTAACTATGTTTATTATTTAATCTTTGTGAGCACTAAAAAAATTAAAGTTTATGACTAAAAAATTATTGTTTACTAATTACTAATTCAAACCATAGTCATATAGCCTCATTTGGCACAAAACTATAATGTAATATGGAGAAAGAGAACCGTCCATACACGATTTAATATTGACACTTTTATAGCTTGGACATTCAATAAAATGCTGGTAAAAACACATTTTATTTAATTTTAAGTAACGGAATATAAAAAATTTCTGAAATAGCACATTGATTTCAGGATTATCTATAATGTAGACTAAAAATTATCGTTGTAATCATGCCAGTTTCATTGCATTTTTAACCTATGATGGGAAAATGATAAAAAATCTTTTATATATAAATTTACTCTAATATGGATTTACCTTTATCTTGCCCTCCCTAAATATCTTATGTCCATCACTAAGTATTAATAATAGATTTTCGAATAAAACTGGAATTTTCTTCGATATTTATTGCTCTTATAAAATCAAGTAAATCAGGAATTTTTGTTTCATTCTGTGCAAAACACAAAGAACATTTCCATTAAAAGCAATAATTTCGATTTACCCGTGACATAGCATGGGCCTTATGCAGTGTCGCATCAGGGGGTCTATTCCGTAGCTGTGCAAATTGAAGTGTACACAAAAATTTGCTTGTATTTTGGTTTTGCTATTCCTCAACTGTGAATAGTGAGTTTATATGCCAAAAAGTGTACACTTTTCTCAAATTTTATTCACCGTTATATTTGGCCATGAATTTAAAAAAAAACAGAAAATTTTGTGCAAAATTTAATATAAACTTGTATTATTATTTTTTTATGGGTTTTAAAAATGGAAAATAGTAAAAATTAAGCAAAAGGAGCAAAAGTTTGTACTCTAATATCAATATCGGATTTTTAACGATAATAAAATTTTGAAACTTATGTTATAAGATCTGTTAAAAAATTATAAAATAAAAATTTTTAATATAATAATTATTATAAAATTGCATTATAATTAGTAAAATGTGTGCCAAAAAAGTAAACAATTATTTATTTTCAATAACTGAGTTTATTCAGTGTAAAAACAAATTTCTACACTGACAACTTTCAAAAATGCTTTCAGCACGTCATAAATTATGACTCATAATTTTACATTCAGCACGAAAAACTCACTAGAACTTGGGGGATACCATTTTACAAGAAAGTGTAAACTGCGGTGAGAAATGAGTTTTTCGTTTGAGTGTACACAAAATTTTTTTCACAGTTGCGGAATAGACCCCTGTATTGTTAATTCTATTTTTATTACTTTTGTACTTTTTAGTTGTGCCTAAATTTTAAAGGAAATAATCACATGCTTGTTTGTTGGCTGTGTTATTTCCTGGCATTTTTTCTGCAAAATATATTGAAATTGTAGTAATTTGTTCCTAAAAGACGTAAATTTTTACATTTATTGCGGAATAATATTGCTTTGACTAAATGACGAAGCACTGATAGCCTCGTCTCTTATGAACAAATTTTAACTCACTCTCAAATATGTTTAATTACTCTTTATTAATTAGTGCAACTCTTTTAAAGGTCAAGATGAGTCAATGAGGATAACAAATACTGCTATTGCTAAAGACATATTAATTTATAAAAGTATAAATACTTACAAAAAAAAATTCCTTAGAATTTTGTGACATCTTGTGATGTGATATGACTCAATGTTCCCCTGGGAACGCAATGGAATGAAGAAGATATATAGAAAAATAAATTAAAATTTTGTGCAAAAGATCCAATTGACCAAAATAGTATGATTTAAATTTTTGTATAAGTATTAAACATTGATTCTAAATTTTAAAATATTCTAATTTATTGACTAGTGTAATAACGAAGAGAAATAAAACAAAATCAAATTATTTTGCATCACTGCTTAAATTTTTCAAAGACTCTTCGAATTCAACTGGTTCAATAATTCGTTTCCCGGCGTCGTAAGCAGGCGGACCAATCAAAGCTACAACTTCATCATAGTTTAAAGTTTCTTTTTCTAGAAGCGCTTCGGCCAACTATAAATGTTAATATATATTTAAACATGTTGATAATATATTTCAATGAATACACACCTTCTCTAATTTATCTCTATTATTTTGCAGAATTAATTCTGTTTTGCTATACGCATTGGCTATTAAATTTCTGACCTCAACATCGATAACATTTTCCAAAGATTTAGAAAATGGCCTTCCGAAAGTACCAGCTTCTTCAGCATCTGAGACATAAATTGGACCCAACTCATCATTCATTCCATACTTTTTAAGCTTTAAATGGTTTTTAACAATTAATTGTGTATTAACTTTTTTTATATAGTTACTTGAGAGTAGGCTATTTTTGTAACTCTTTCCAAATCATTTTGAGCGCCAGTTGTTATTCGATTAAAGATCAAATTTTCTGCAGCTCTTCCACCTAATGCCATACACATTTTGTCAAAAAGCTCCTCTTTCGAATAAAGTTGTTGTTCATTGGGTGTATATTGTGCAAATCCTAAAGTTAAACTTGTTCTAGGAACTATTGTTACTTTTAATAAAATGTCGGAGTTCGGTAATAGCCATCCAACAAGTGCATGTCCAGATTCATGATACGCGATAACTCTCCGCTCAGCTGGTGATATAGCACTAGATCTTTTTTCAGTACCTCCTAAGAATTTTATTTATAAATGTTATACATTGATTTTACTTTATCTAGTCGTTTTTACTTACCAACTAAGCGCTCTACAGCATATTCTAAATTTTTTGATTTAACAATTTTTTGAGAATTTCGAGCTGCATGTAAAGCAGCTTCATTGCAAACATTTGCTATGTCTGCTCCAGAAAATCCCGGAGTTAAACGTGCAAGCCTTTTAGAGTATGAAAATGGATGCGTTTCTAATTTTACAGAGGATAAATGCTTTTCAAATATTTCTTTCCTTTCTTGTAATGTTGGTAAATCTATAAGTATGTGACGGTCAAATCGACCTGGACGTAGAAGTGCCTAAAATTTGTTGATTATTAGATATATATATATAATGGTCTCTTTTTAGTTAGGATTACAATTAAGAAAACTATCAATTTATTTACTTAAAAAACCAAACTCTAAATTGTGTCAATACCACAATAATTTATACATAAATTTAATTTTTAATATATATAATTTTAATTCAAACATTTCAGGAAGTACCGCCAGGTGCCGCTTTCAGGAATCACCACTACGTGCGATGCTTTTACCCATCATTAGTGATGTTCTTGAAATTATTTCTTATATTTAAATATTCGTAACTAATTTTTTTAAACTGTAAGTACCAAGGGTTGAACTCGCACTCTGCCAAATTTGAAGCTGAGTCAGTGTTCATTAGCCACCCAAAGCCGTACTTGAAGTGTATGTTCGAACTTGGAGTTTTGTTAATTTACTGTGAAAGTTCATTAACAAATTCATTTCCTGTTTTAGTATTAGAAAAAAAGAAGGGTTTTCGAATAACAAAGAAAGAAATAAAGGACAAACACAAAAATTTATTTTTTAATTTTATTGAAAATTTGGCTGACCATACAACGCTGTTTCGAGTATTGCCAAGTACTCTTCATCAGTGGTCTTTGGGAATAATCCAATATTTATTTAATTAGTATACTATATGTCGTATATAATTTGTTTGGACTAAAAGGCAAGTACCAGTCTTTATATAGACTGTGCCTGCTCAAGAATCATATATACTACAAAGACGATGAACTAATCGTGTTTATCACAAAGACAAGAAGACTGCAGCCAAGCGTTTCTGCATGCTAAAGTTCTTTCCAGGATGCTCTTTATAGTCTCCTTATTTGTTAGTTTTATTAGTCACTTATTTTTATTATAACTATAGCCTGAAAACAACCATACGCAGCGTTGCCGTGCTTTTTAAATTAGAACGAGCTTATAAACTACAGCTTTATTTTTGGAAACACAAAGTTCAACGAATTGAAAGTTTAACTTTTGGGGTTTGCCTATTATCTTTATTTCTTTTCAAAGCTACTCTTTTTGTAGAGACATTATTGTACTATGGCATATTAGTTTTACTTTTATCTTAATATGTAAAGCGACCATTCTGGTGCTTTTTACAAAGAAGCTATGCTATGTTATTCTACAAATCCGCTTTTTCGCTTAGGTTAGGAAACATAGCATAATTACGTTTTGTTTTAGAAAATAAGGTAATCAGTTTCCTATTTGGAAAATTTCTTGTTGTAACTGAATTTTAAGTTACATGTTATATTGCACGGATTTGACAGAATTAGTTTGGTGCCAATTTTCTAATAAAAAGAACATTGCAGTCATTCTGACTAAAAATATATCAACATTTATAAAAAAAAATGTTTCCATAAAATCCTATAGGTCTTAACTTTTTTTTAATCAGAAACTAAAAGCACACAATACATCCATTTAAATATGTTTTAAATTAGATATTAAAAGAAATCTTACCTTATCCAATATATCTGCGCGATTTGTGCTTGCAAGCATTAATACGCCTTCCTTTGATGCCATGCCATCCATTTCCACAAGTAATTGATTAAGAGTTTGTTCTGATTCTCCTGAACTTCCTTGTGTTAAAGTTTCATTACCAGACCTTTGCCTTCCAATTGCGTCAATCTCATCAATATAAATGATGCAAGGTGATCTTTTTCTTCCTTCTTGAAATAAATCACGAACTCTTGCCGCTCCAAGTCCACCAATCATCTCAATAAATTCTGAGCCATTCATACTTAAAAAAGGAACTTGTGCTTCGGTTGCCACTGCTTTTGCAAGTAGAGTTTTCCCACATCCTGGAGGTCCTAGAAGAAGTGCTCCTTTGGGAACTTTCGCTCCAAGACGCTGATACTTCTCTGGTGCTTTTAAATAATCTACAAATTCTTTTACTTCCTGTTTTGCTTCTTGTAAGCCAGCAACATCTCTAAATAACACTCCACGGCCCCCATCGAAAGGATCAACAAGTGTAAATTTGGCTCTCCCCATTTGAGTCTAAAAATTGATCAAATTTTTACATTATTTTAACAAAAAAATATTTATGGATACTTACGAAAGTATCCATACTTAATGGGCTTTTAACACCTCTTAAACGAGACGCTATCGCCATGAGAAGACCAAAGAATAGAAGCAATATGAGAATCCTACCAGTTACATCACTTTGACGATCATAAGTAATTGCAACACCTTAAAATGGAATAAAAAAAACCACAGATAAACAATTTATCAACAAAAATAAGATTATTATAAGATTATATTATAAAAAGTTTTAAATTAGCCACGTATTAGTAATAAATTTTATGATGTTACCTTCGCTAATACCCAGCCGCCTTTCAACTTCTCGTAGTTTTTCTTCAAACTTTGTTGGATCTGGTATAGCCATATGAAAAATTGTTGACGAGACTTTTCTTCCCTTAATAATAGCTCCGTCATGTAAAATAATCGTAACCATTTCCATATCAGGTCTTATTATTAATTCTTTAACTTCACCTGCAGCGAGCATATGATGAATAAACTCATTCCACGAAACGTACCGTGTTGAACCCTAAAATTTTTTCTTAAAACAATATTATGTCTCCATATAAATGCATACCTCAGGTCGATCAGTGCGAGGAGACATCACTAATGTAAAAAATGCAATCAACATATAAATTGTAAATAACCAAAGCACTGCCTTAGTGACCATTGATTTAAGTTTTTCTTCATTGTCGTTATTTTTATCATTTTCATTTGGTGTCTTTTTTGGATTTTGTTTATCACTGTCGTTATCCTTTCTTATATTATTATTGCAAAAACTAGCATGCAATTGTCGAATTGTTTGGGTGGGCAATCCAAACGATCTTGAAAGAACGCCGATAAATGCCTTCGACTCTGCACTGAGCAACTTCCCCTGTAATGACGAGTTATAGGCTTGTTAAACGAGCATTATTTATACATACCTGTTTGTTAGAGAAATTACGGCAGATGTAAGAACTTCTCCATAAATAAGCGGATTTTCTACTACCTGTAAATACCCTTACAATATCATTTACATTTTTTGAGATCCCCATCTTAATTTCTTTTATTTAAACAACTATAGTGATAATTGATCGTAAGGTAAAAGGTTAAATATTTCATATCCAAAGTTAAAACTAAATTTTTATAAACTTAATATGATTAACCTCAACTATTTCATAACAGCAATGTGTATAAGTTAGCTACGACGCTAAATGAAACGGAAAGATTTTCATAAATAAAACTATGATATTCAGAGATTATTTTAGTACCATGTTATAAATGAAAGACTATGTTATACAGTCATGGTCACGTGAAATGTCAACTTGTGTAGTAAAAAATTAATAATGAAAGAATTTTCGGTTTCAATTTCGACAAAACACCAGCGCATAGTTCACAACGTTGTAGGAAAATACAGGGCTGTATTTACAAAAACAAAATTTTAAAATGATATTTTTGTTAAAATAAAGCAATAAACTGAAACAAAAGGCATTATTCTTATAGAATTTAAAAAGTTCTTTTCGATTGTTATACACCAATTTGAAATTTGACGCGTATTTTTTAAATTATGTATGTATAAGAAAAATAAAAATTGGTCATAATCGACTTTTTTTGAAAAACATTTTTTTTAGGGCCATGTTATGCAGAGTGTCTCGGGCACGGCATGAGTACAATTGTTGTTGTTTTCAATCAAAATTTTAAATTTGAGAATGAGAGAAAAAACAATATGGCCGTTCAAACTCCGGCATGAGAGCCGGCGTATTTGTGCCCCGGCACTAAGGCAAAACAGTGTTGTTTAGTAATAAATTTCAAAATTTGCGCCTTTTAGGAGCAAATTACTACAATTCTAGTACGTTTTGGAGAAAAAATGGCAGTAAGCAACATAGCATTTTTTTATAAATCGCTAATAATATAATTATTACACTTTCCGATTTCAGTAAAAGATGAAGGTAATATCAACAATTGTTATAAGATAATATAATAATAAATTAACATTTTTTTTATTACAGCCTCTATGAGTTTTTTCATGCGAATTATTTTTGGTGGCAAATTGAAAGTGAGCATATTTAAATTTCCTTTTAAATTTAGGCACAACCAAGAAGTAGTAAAAATACAAAATTGGCAATACTGATGTGACACTCTGCATAACATTCATTTTCGGCATAGCCCGAAAGAGCGTAATATGACGTGTCCGAGACACTCTGCATAACATGGCCCTTAGAAAAATCTAGAAACGGGATAATATTGCACCCACACAGGTCTAATAGAGAATTAATCAAACTAACAATAGCAAAAGAAACCCTAAAATTCGAGTAGTACAATTTTGAGAAATTTGAAGTCAAACTTAAACTTCTAAATTTGTCAAATCTTAAGCTTATCGAAAAATTTGAAAAGTAAAAGTTTAAAAAAAAATTAAATATTAAAATCATTTTAATATCTCAACTTATATATAAAAAATGTGTTTAAAAAGTTACACATTTTTCACATGTTCCGATATAAGCGCAGTTCATTTAAAATTCGAAGGAAGGGAAATCAGTATGTTCGAATTTCCTAAAGCATATTATAAACGATGTTAATTGTATGCAAACCAATTAAGCCGTGCTATATAATCGCACTGTGTATATCAAAGAATATAAAGAAAAGAAACGCAAACTATCACGCAATACATGGTCTTGCCATTTTAATACATAAATACATAATATACATAAATACATAAATGTATTAACACATTAGAAACTTAGATGTGTGCCTAATTAGTGGTCTTAAATAACCGAAACATCGATGAAATAAACATAACAATAAAAAAAAAACTAAAAAAGCCAAAACAAAAAACCTGACTATTTAGCCCATCACTCATCTATAACAAAGTGTAACATTAGGGTGGCTCAGAAAAATGCGATTTTTAATGAGTACACCCCCTAGAAATATGCCATAGACCCAAAATATGATATTTCCAAAGTTTTGGAGAAAAAGGATTAAAAATGACGTTGCGCCACTCGAGCAAAGTTGAGTTTTCAGTACAAAAAACAGAAATTTTTCAATTCAAGGTCATTTTTATCTTTATTACTTATTTTTTCAGTTATTAATATATACTCATTATAGATAGATAATTAAAATATATTTTTTATAAGATATTAATGGCGCAAAACCGGTTAAAAATTGTGCGCAAAACACAATAATTAGTTGAGCGACTGTGTTCTGTTTTTTATTTCATACCTTTTAGCTGGCATGCACAATGCAATCGCAAATGTTTACAAAAAACGGAAGAAACATAAATAAAAAATAAAAATAATACATTTCTACCTAATAATTTATATAGATATTTCAGTAGAATTGAAAATGTAGTCAAAACAAGAATTTTTTCGTAAGCAAAGAGAAAATGATCGTACAGGGAGTATGACTGAAGTTAATATCCATTTAGCAAACGAAGCAAGAGCGGCTAAAAATTCCATTGATTTTAATTGGAATAAATTTGATGAAGAAATTTGTCCCAAAATGGAAGCTGAATCTTTAATCAACAAAATTGGGATAACGCAGACAGAACGATTGAATTTATCACTCCTAGTTTAGATTCTCGATGGAGCATATGTGTGAAAATTTTAACCCACACTAGGTTAGGTTATGTTCGGAAGGCACGTGCTGACAGTTGTCAGCACTTATACTCGGAGACATATATTACCCATTGGGATGCTCTCAAAAAATTTTACCAGGCGATGCCAGTTGCTAACCTTTGTTAACCTTGTTAAACCATTTGGTTTTCCAGATGAAGTTGAGGAGATCCGATAAGGTTGCTTTCGTTATCTCTTGCAAGCCAGTAAAATAAGGATCCCCAAGACATTAAAGTAGCCTTGTTTGAAGTCCTGAACAGAGACATAGGAAGTGATTGATAGATTTTATCTCCTCTTCATCTTGGTAACTTCTGCATAATCCACTTGTTGGAGCAACTTAGGTCATAAGATTCTAGCGACCTTACAGTCTTCGCGGTTAGTTTATAAATTGATAGTCACCGTATTTAGAGGTCGGCCTCTCCTGTATGCAGTTCAGCACCTCTTCCGGCCATCTCATCTGCTAATTCATTCCCTTCAATATTGCTATGTCGAAATGTACTATGTCCAGCAAAGAGAGACCATATGATATTTGATGATTTAGATTCAATTGCTTTCAGTGCGGCCTATCTACAAAAATCGTGATATTCGAAGGACGAATTGTACTTTGTTGTCTAATGTTAACCTCATTTTCGATAGCATATATCTCGCCGTAAAAGACGCTGTAAGTAGCAGGGATTCGGTAGCACTGTCATACCTGCATATCTTTCGAGAAGATACCTGCTCCCGTACCGCCTTCTATCTTTGAACCATCTGCGAAGATAGTAACTGTACAGTTACCGGTCACAGATCCAAGCTCCCAGCTATCTCTGGTTAGATAAAGAGTGGGAACCCACTAATGAAGTTATTTTCTTCAAAGAACCTTATTGATTTTGTTGTGTCCACCTGTGGTTAGAATTAACGCCCTCAGAAGTCACTTATGGCACGGTGGCTAGCCCGGTATGCTCGCCAGTGTTGGGGTGGGGTTCTTAGCAACTGAGGCTACGGTGTAGACAACAACAAAGAAAAAAAAAATCGTGCCATGTTCTTAGTTCTTATCCTAACTAAACAAAACTATCAACTATTCATTACTACTTCATTTATATTCACTTAACTATTTAACTTCATTGTTAATTCAATGCTTACACACGAACAAACTATTATCTATCCAATTCATTACATCTAAACTTCTTCAATATTTCAAAAAAAAAAAAATTATTAAATAAAACCACTATTGTTCATTTGGGTTTTCTAAACTTAAAGAAATCTTCATCGTATAGTATGGGAAGAGTCTTCTCCCTGATGCTTACGATCACTGCGGCAGCTTTAGGAAGTTCTGTGTATACCTCGCTCAAACCTAAGTTACAAGTTTGACCTCGGGGCAACCCTTCTGCCTTCATTTCATTTAGTATCGACTCTTCCATTCCCCAGTCGATGTTCGTAGCAGCACCAGCCTGGACGGCCATGGTTTCCACGAATGTGGGAAACGCTGGTAACACTTCCGGTAATGCTTGGTTACCATCAGTGAAGCGTTTCATTTTTTTTTCTTTGTTAGGGTAAAATATTAAAGAGTAAAAAAGAATAAAATTACGAGAAAAGAAGTGAATACAATTTAGTTACAGCGAAGCTCTGCCGTAGGAGATGAGTATGGTCACAAACTTAGTACCACCCCTTTAATTAAGAACAGTAAGATCTCATGTTGAACTTAGGAGTTTCCTAAAAAATTAACCCAAAAAAAAAATACATAAATAAAAAAAAGTAGATATATATATATTTTTTTTTTATATTTGCTATATATTAAAAGTAAATACAAAATTCTTGAATTTTACAATATGGCATAGAGATAATAATAAAAAAAATTTATAATATAATTGAGTATATACAGATATATAAATTCCTTTATACTGTCTTTTTAATTCATAATTTTATTCATAATAACATAATAAGGTGTTTACAAGATTCAACTCATTTTTATATCAACAAGTTTGATTATTCATATTTCATTATTACCTAAATAAATACATAAATCATCATCATCATCATCAGCGTTACAGCGCGGGGTGAGCTTTAGCTGCATCAAGCAGCTTTCTCCATTCTGCTTTGCATGATGTTTTAGATCTCCATATACGTGGTCTACCTCTGCTGCAGTCATTATACGGTGTGAAATGGAGTATTCGCTTTTGTGGTCTATCGTCCGGCATAATGTGTCCTAACCATCTCAAGCGTTGCGACTTTGCGAACTTCACCACATCTTCACCATCGCAAAGTTGTAGTAGTTCAGCATTCGTACGCCGACGAAATTCTTCTTGATTCAGGCGGATGGGACCATAAATCTTTCTAGGCACCTTTCTTTCGAATCTTCTAATTTGGTTTTCATCTGCTGTCGTTAGAGTCCACGTTTCGGCCCCATAGCATAATACCGGGCGGACGATTGCCTTGTAAGCGTGTATTTTGGCACTTCTGGTCACGAATTAGATTTGAAGATTTTTGCGTGTCCGTAATAACTTCTGTTTGCTGCTACAATTCTGTCTTGTATACTAACACTGATTTCATTGTTTTTATTAATAAGGACACCCAAGTATTTGGCGCTTTCAACTTCTTCAAACGTAAACTCACTAACTTGAAAGGGCTCTAACATTCGGCTGTGCATGTTTCTTCCAACCCTCATATATTTTGTTTTGTTCTCATTAATGTTTAGCCCAACTATCTTAGCTCTGAGTTGTAAGTCGACGAACTTTTCTTTCATATAGTGAAGTGATCTGCTTAAGATGGCTATGTCATCTGCGTGGGCAATGGTCAGTGA